GGAATAAAACTGTCAAGGCAAGGAAAAGTGGTAGAAGAAGTACAAAAACAAGTGAACATGGCAAACAGAGCAGCAGGATGTCTCAACAACACAATCTGGAGAAACAAATACCTCACAACGGAAACGAAAACCAGGATATATAAATTTACAATAAGACCGATAATGACGTACACAGCGAAAACAAGAGCAGATACGGCGAAAACACAAAGACTGCTGGAAACAACAGAAATACAAGTCTTACGAAAAATAACAAACCAAACTCTAAGAGACAGAGTAAGAAGTGGAGAAATATGAGCGATATGTGGTATAGAGGAAATAAACGCGTGGACCAAAAGAAGAAAAGTGGAATGGAATCAACACATCGAAAAAAATGACAGAAAATAGAATAGTACGAATAACAACAGACAAATAGTCAAATAGAAGAAGATCATTAGGACGACCGCGGAAAATATGGTCAGAAAAACGTCAATTGAGGCTAAAAACCAAAGTAAAACAGGCATTAAGCCTATTTATAAAGTAGGAAGAAGAAGATTTCTTAAGTATGTAAATCATTTCTTCGTTGGTCGTTTCTGATCCGTATTTCCCTTCTCTTTTGTTTGACCTAATAAATATACAAACAAATTCATTTCGGCGAGGTGTTTTCCCTAAAAATTACATATTTTTCGACAGTACGGTTTTTGAACTCATACAATTTTAAATCCAGTGAATAAAAAATGTTTCCTTGGCACTTAATTTTGGAAAGTCTCTAGGGCGTAAAGTAATCCCGTTTCCGGCCGAGGGACCCGAAAAACTCTACGCGAAAAAACTGTCGAGTCACTCTTCTTTTATTTTGATTTAATTTTATTTATCCAAAGCTCTCAGGTATGGCAACCCTTTCGGAAAACACGATTATATTCATTGGATTTTAGTATTCGCCGCATATTTTAAGAGACAGTATTAATATTTCTCCCTCCTGATTTCTGAGTGCGTTGTTTTGTGCAACCCTAATATGTTCACCCCCGTTTGTTATAACTCTGCCGGAACCTGAACAGAAAAATTCGGCTCTAGCTACCCCAATGCACGATGTGAGGAGTATGCTTAGATGGCTATGAAAGAACGGGTTCAGTAGCGTACGCGTAAGGATTTTGCAACAAATTATCAAAATGGTCAACGCAAATAATCTTAAAAAGACATTAGAAATATTTTTTTTATTTTAAGATTTTAGAGTGTATTTTAATATACTAATTGGTATAGTAAAACTCAATATGTGGAAGCAATACTGGTAGAAGTTAATACAACTTCTGTACAGAAAAACAGAGACGGAATATGTTAAAAATTTCTTAATAAAACCACCGAAGTGATAAGATTCCTTAAGCAGACAGTTAAAAATGAAACTCTGATATGCTAAATCTTAAGATATACCTAAAAATAGAAATAGAACAAAGACGAAATAGATTTAACTAGAAAGTAAACAATACAAAATCTGTAATAGCAAACAAAAATAGGATCGATTAATGTTCTTAGATTAAAACGACTAATGTCCTTAGATTAAGACCGCTGGAAGGTATATATTTTTATGCAGTAATAGATGGATGTATTGCACACCACAATAACTAAAATTATTTGAAAAAGAAAAACATAATTGGAAACTATTGTAGCATATACAAGTAGGATCTAGTATAATAATTTTCGCATAATTATTCTCTTTAATAGCAAACACTTAAATAAAAATATTCAAAAAACCAAATTGATAAGAAAAAATACTTAAAACTTATTTTCAAAATTATTATTAGAAATATTTTACATCACTTCTTCTAAAGGTGTCTATATTATGATAATGTTGGCTAGCATCTTGACTTATTTTATGTATTCAATGCATCTCAAAATAGATTAGTTGATGTGAGACCAGTCCATTTCCTAACATTGGCCAGTCAGGATAAACATACTAATAAGGTAAACAGACGTTGATTGCAATTTTTAGAAGGCTCAGATTAAAGCAGAAATCTGAATTGGTTTCGAAAACTATTTTACGGATTTATTATCAGATGTCGCTATTGCGCCCATATCGAAGCCATTTTAATGGTGCTTCTTAAAGACAGAAAATATTTATTTTTCACGTTGAGAACGCCTATGAATAGCTGTTCTGATGAGGCCTATTAGGCCGATATGCGTATAAACACATACCTAGACGCTTTGTACGTTTAATCTAATCTTTATTGTCTTTTTCATTTTAATCGGATCTACTCTGTATAGTACAAGAAATCAATTCGCTAAGGATTTCTGCTTAGTTGAGGAGACATGTCGTGAAATGCAAATTTTAGATTCCCCTGTCTCTTTTAACATCTTTATCAACGTCTGTTTACCTTGCAATTTTTAGAAGGTTCAGATTAAAGCAGAAATCTGAATTGGTTTCGAAAACTATTTTACGGATTTACCAAAAAATAGTTTTAAATCCAATTATTGGTAATTAATTTTTGAACAAAAATGTCGTTCATTTATTTTGTTATACCCACGCAATTTTGTTTAATATAATGATATAAGGTTACCTGAGAAAAATGGTTACAAATTAGTTTTGGAGGCTGTTAAAAACGAAAGGTATCAAAATTGAAGTAAAATGGTGTCAAGTGATAAAATGTCAGTGTTATAATATAATAAAACTTTACTTCACGCTAAGTTATTTTGTAACTACTCTATTTTTATAACAATATCAATAATATTGACGAGGTGACAAATATCCGGAGGTGACAGATCTGTTAAGATGTTTTTTCAGTTTTGTCAAATGCTGGAATATATTCCAGCAACAAAGTTCTCAAATGTTTATCTTAAAGTTGATTATCAGTTATTATTATTAAAAAAGTTATTATTAAAAAAAGCTATCGTAACCGCCACCACGTCTCTGATCTCTTCCCAAAAGTGTAAGAAGAATAATTGGTATCAACGATGGACGACCACAGATTATTAAAAACAAAGACCGAACCAAACATCAGAAGATTAACCGACAAATACGAAAAGAGTGTCGCAAAGCTCGATACATGAGAATGACCTTAAAATCATAAAGAACCTATATATGAATTAAATGGCCTCTGTGGGAGTAGGACTGGAATCTACATTATATTTCTCAATCGAAAAAGGTGTACGACAGGGTTGTGTTCTGTCACCCCTCCTTTTTAATCTTTACTCTGAAACGATTTTCGATAGAGCCTTAAGTGATACTGAAGACGATATCAAAATCAACGTACAGACTATTAGTAATCTTCGCTATGTTGATATATGCTGATATGCTATGATATAATCATAATAGCTGATAGCTAAGAAGCGCTACAACGACTAATAGATAAAATAAACACTGAAGGAGAACGACTGGGCTTGAAGATTAATATAGACAACACGAAGGTAATGTTGGTTAGTAGAACGAAATATGCTATTAAATATAAGAGTTAACAATAAAAACATTCAAAGGTCCCCAAGTTCAGATATTTGGGTAGTTGGATAACTAAAGATTGAGATCCAGACATAAAGATACGTAGCAGGATTGAGAAAGCCAGAACAGCATTTACTAATATGAGAACCTTGCTAAGCAACAGCAGCCTTAACTTAACGCTTCGATGTCGCTTTGTAAAATGTTATGTTTGCAGTTGTGTATTGGCCAGGAGATCGTTGGATAGTTTGGCCGCCTGTTCGTTCTAGCTCATTTAGTGTTAACCAGAGGGCACGTTCAGAATTCTTCTGCGGACGCGAGCTAGTTTACCCTCCAATTATTATATTTATAAATATAGTACTCGTAAGATCTAGATTAATATCTTAAACTGTCAATCAAATTGCGCAGAATGATCGAAAAACTTCGTTAAGAATTAGCGAAAATTTGTTTTTATATTGGTGCATGAGAGTTTATACATAGGTTTCTGTAGAAATGAATGCCTGCACGTCTATGATATGATTTGAAAGAAAGGCAACAGGAGTCCCGCTAAAGGCTCAGACGGTGGTAGTTTCCCTCCGGTATTTATAGAGGGTGAGATTTTTGGGGGATTGGGCTTCGACCTTGTCAGAATCGGGGATTCCCTTTCAGGATTTTCATTCCGCTCCACTCGATTCCGGATCCGATTATTTTTTTCTTTTTGTATGTGTGTCGAATAGACGTAAAAATGTTATGATATCACCGTCAAAATCGTTCAGAATTCAATAAAGAACAGATAAAAACAGATAAAGGGAATTTGACATCATCGGATTTTGTTACTTTAGCGTTTTCCCTTTACCGACAGTTCTTTAAGGGCCTTAAACAGTTTACTCGCTGATTTGTAAATACCAAAGATATGTAATAGATATATTTATAAATATACGTGGAAAATATTATTGATAGTATAATAGTATAATATAGTATAGAAGTATAGTATAGGAGTACATGTATAAGATTAAAATGTGATCTACATTTATTAATAAATATATATTGGTAGTCATCATGGAAGATTATTAACTCTATCATAATTAGTGCGTCTATTTCAAGAGAATCGGAGGTATCTGAAGATGAAGAGGCCATAATTGTTGTAAAAAGATCTTAGTTGTATAGTTAAGATGTAAGATGTAAGGAAACCCAGTAATGTCAATTTGCCAATATGCTCTGTTGGCAATAGAAATTCTTAAATGAGTTACCGAAACCCTGAATGCACCAAGAAGACCAGATTCTTGTGTACAAAATGCAAAATGTACTTATGTGTTTTTCTTGAACGAGAATGTTTTTTAAATGTATACTTAAATTATATAAAAGTTCATTTCTAATGTCCATTCTGCTGGACCTGTCATATTATGTCTGTCAAATCATTTTTTTTTTGTAGATTTTCGTTTATTGTTTTCACAAATAAGAGAAACCAGAAAATATTGTTAAACTAATAAAAACTCTGTTGTTGGGACTGAGACGGATAAATGAACAGTTGTGTCGTCTTAGAATGTTTCAAAATGAAACATTCAGTGTAAATTTACTTCCGCCAGATATTCGTGTTCTAAATATTTCACCTTAGATTACCAACCTTAGTTTGCCTGTCATTGTTTACGTAAACTTAAAACATTTTAAGTTATGTTTTGGTACGATAAAAAACTATTTTACACTTTTGGACAGTACAGTTACATATGGTTCAGATGTCTGGTCTATGAATAAAATACAACACGGTATAAATTAGTTAAAAAACAATTTTGGCAAACATGCTGAAATCTTATGCTACATGATGATTTTATAAAGATATAATTAAAAAAACAATGAGGAAAGAAACAACACATAAACTATACAAAACAAATTTATTCGTACGGCCCCATGAGAAGAATGAACCATAAAGCGACAATAAAAGAACAATCTTTTGAAATCTAGGAATGGACCCTAAAAGAAAAAGGAAAAAGGGAGGACCAAGCAAGTCCTGCGACTTAGATTTAATATAGCTATGAACAGAGGATGTTTACGTAGATTTAAGCAAAACAAAAAAATACTGACGTCCCGAATTGTTACAAAGGTACATGTTTTAAATCATCGTGTACATATCTATATTTCAAAAAGAACCTATTCTTAAATTATAATGTAGATTAAATTCTAAATTTCAAAGTCCAAAGTCAAAGTTAACTTATTTCCTTTAATTTCTCGAGGAACATAGGCCCCCAGGAGATTCCGCTATCTGTATCCATATCTAGGCAGATTTTTGAGCTGATTTCAAGTCTTTCCAATCATTTACGCTTCTCTTTGTTAATGGTCCTTGCTTGCTTCTCAAGGATTCAAACTTATAGCTTTTTTTCAATAGCAGCATCTGATTTCCTAAAAGTCTGGCTTTTACTTCCATTCTCGTATCTGCATTTAACATTCATTTGTACTGTGTCCTTTCATACCTCCTCGTTTAAGATGCTCAGGATACCAAATATTCATATTATCCAAAAACTACGATCTATAAACACCATGATGTAATTATTCTATCTAACCTCCAAGTCTCTTAAGTGTACAACATCAAGATAGAGTAGAACAAATGAAGTACTCGCCTCTCATCTAGAGCCTCTTCATCAGCTTTTACACCCTTTCTTAGATATACAAAGGGGTCGACTGTTTCTGTCATTTCATGTGTAACTTTAGTTTCTTGCTGTAATCTATATAATTTAAATTTTATGTCAGTAAACCTTTGCACTAAAAGACAGAAGTCAAAGACTTTCATTGTATGACTTTAATTACAAAAATTACCCTTGCCGTCTGTTGTATAAAATAAGCTACAGGTTATTATATTAATTCAAAAGAAAAGGCAAAAAAGTATTTTTGAAGTGTGTATATTTTTTAATAATTCCTAGCTGAGCGCTTTCGGCTTTACAAAGCCATCATCGGAGCTATGCTACAATAAAATGTTTTTATAAGTAACTAATTGGTGGAGATTTTAATTTTATACTTACTTCAATTTATAAATACCACTACAATGGAGATATCTCATTTCCTTATTTGTTGAAATTTTGATTTTTTTAATTACGTAGTTGTTAAAAATTTTTAAAAAACATACAAAAAATCGACACTTGACTTCACAGACACATTAAAAAATTTTTGTCATGGTACGGGTGTAAGAACCCGACCATTGTTTGCTATGAGGAGGTAGACAGAATAGAACTAATGAAATCAAATGTCGGTCCCTTTAAACGATTTTTCAAAAGTGACAGTTGACAAATGTCATGTAGAGAAAATAGAGATTGTTTTAAAATCTTACAAAATTATTTAATAGTTTGGAATTACTAATAGTCATCAAAGACTTTCTAAAAATTAAGTTTTTATGCTTTTAAATTAAATCTTATGTGTTCATCACATCATACAGAATGATATTAGTTTGTAAATTGACTTCAAGTCATTGATCAAGGTCAATGTATGTTCAATCTGACAGTCATCCTAAGAAACAAGGGTTCAAATCGTTCAATAATAGTATAAAGAAGAAAGATGGTATTAATGTTACATGATCTGATATTTAAGTGTATTGAGAATTGTATCTCTTGACGGAAATTTGTAAATTTGCATAAAAAATATATTTTCATGTCTCAATTAAGAATAACTTGTCAAATGAATTACAAAATGTTGTAAATTTATAATAAAGTTTAGAATTTTTGTTTAAAAATATAAAATTATGAAAAAATGTAATAAGATTACATGAGGTCACCCTTCTTCCTCTAAAGTCTCCCATAATGATTTAAAGAGAGGTTTATAATTGCAATTGAGGTTGATTTGTGTGTTTAAGCAACAATCAGGGTTTAGTTTCATTTCTTTGGATATCTCAAGATCTTCCAAGAGATTTATGAGTCTAAAGTTTTTATTGGGAATGTTGTGTAAAATTTTACTGTTTTCAGAAGGAGAAAGGGAATGATTATTAAATTTAATGTGATATCCAAAGTTTGATTTTTCTGGGTTATTGAGGTGTTCTTTGATTCTTTGATTCAGAGTTCTCATTGTTCTACCTACATAAGTCATATTACAGTCACCACAGGACAGCTTGTAAATACCACTTCTGTTTAGTTTGTCAACTTTGTCTTTGGTCTTACTGAAGATGGACTTGATGTTATATTTGGTTTTAAAGCAGATGTTTAAGTCACTGATTTTATTAACAAGTACTCTTGAAAATTTTTTCTGAAATTTTTCCTAAGTAAGATAAGGATCTATATATGGAAGTAGTGTTGGATTTTTTATCAACATTAAAAGCTTGGTTTAGTCTCTTTTTGAGTATAGATTTTCTAATGACTTTATCAACAGTAGTAGAAGGAAAACCATTGTTGTTTGCTATCTGGTTAATGATGGAGATTTCTTTATTGTAATTTTCTTGAGACATAGGGATATTGAGAAGTCTGTGGACATAACATTGAATAGCTGCCATCTTGTGTTGAAAAGGGTGATTTGAGGATGTTGGTATCATATGGTCAGTTTGAGTAGGTTTTCTGAAAATTGAAAATTCTAGTGTAGGCAAAGAAGAAGAGGAGGAAGCAAATTTCCATCAAGAGATACAATTTTTAATACACTTAAATATCAGATCATGTAACATTAATACCATGTTTCTTTTTTATACTATTATTGAACGATTTGAACCCTTGTTTCTTAGGGATGACTGTCAGATTGAACATACATTGACCTTTATCAATGACTTGAGTCAATTTACAAACTAATATCATTCTGTATGATGTGATGAACACATAAGATTTAATTTAAAAGCTTAAAAACTTAATTTTTAGAAAGTCTTTGATGACCATTAGTAATTCCAAACTATTAAATAATTTTGTAAGATTTTAGAACAATCTCTATTTCCTATACATGACATTTGTCAACTGTCACTTTTGAAAAATCGTTTAAAGGGACCGACATTTGTTTTCATTAGTTCTATTCCGTCTACCTCCTCATAGCAAACAATGGTCGGGTTCTTACACCCGTACCATGACAAAAAATTTTTTTAATGTGTCTGTGAAGTCCAGTGTCGGTTTTTTGTATGTTTGTTAAGAATTTTTAACAACTAAGTAATTAAAAAAATCAAAATTTCAACAAATAAGGAAATGAGATCTCTCCATTGTAGTGGTATTTATAAATTGACGTAAGTATAAAATTAAAATCTCCACCAATTAGTTCCTTATAAAAACATTTTATTGTAGCATAGCTCCGATGATGGCTTTGTAAAGCCGAAAGCGTTCAGCTAGGAATTATTAAAAATACACACTTCAAAAATACTTTTTTGCCTTTTCTTTTGACTTGTCATAAGTGTGTACAAAAAACATATCAGTCTTTTGATTATTATATTAATTACTTTTACAAAAAACTACTTTATCATATATGTTTTATAACATTTTGTGTGGACTAAACACGCAATAATTACGCAGTTAGCATATACTTTAAAGCGAATGAACATTTTTAATATAAAAACTTAAATAAAGCAGGAATATAATTAGAAAACCACTGAATATTAAGTTCCTTGAGGAATAACAAAGTTATTAATTGACTTTCCATATGTTGTGTCATGAACTGGACTAATAATCGAATCACTGATTTCCCAAAGGTTTATATTGTAATCTAAATCCAAAACCAAAACAAAATCGACGACGCAAAGCAGGCAGACAACGTGTAATCTCGCCTTTCTCCTTTGGGCGTACTCGAACAGCGCGGGCCATTACGTCATTGACCACAAGTCGCTATCTAGGTAGCTTTAGATTATTAGCTGAACACTAACTTCCTGAAATCCCTACTCGGTGCTGTTTAATACTGATAGCTAAAGTAAGGAGTATCCTATCTGGATAAAGAGGCTTAATCCTACGATTTTAGTTTAAAGACGGTGCCTGTACACTTTGAAACATTGCAACATCCTAAGAAGTGGCTTTCGAATCGACGGATTTAAGGGTTTAGGGGAGTTTGGAGGCTCGCGCGAAGTTTTGAGTTTTGAGGTGGACTGGGTGAGGGGTCACGAGGTGAAGAGAGTTATTCGAGTTATTAACGACCAACACCACTCATCTTTGTTAAACTTCAAATCTCAAAATATTTAAACATTTAAAACAAAGTAAATAACAGTAAATTCAATCCAAATTAAGTTTAAAAAACACCAGCTATAAAATCAAAGAACCAAATTACTCAACATTGAAAGTACAGAGTCAAAAATAAAATTGAATAAAAACTTAACTACAAACTACAAAGCATTAACCAACAACTAGCAGATTCTGAAGAACTTTAAAAGAAATTTCAAATGAAATTCAAAAAGGTTTTTACCAATAATCAAATGGGTTATTAAAATGAAGCAAGAGATGAAGATAAGACAATGGATGAATAAAAAGAAAATAAGCCACCGCAGAATTTTTGGCAGATATACAATATCGAAAATATGTATATTGTATAGAAAATATTAATGGAGGGCTGATTTATTAAAAGAAATAAATATGGAATAATAAAAAATAAAAATTTAGATTTTTTTAAATTAACATATTCCTGATTTAAAAATAATAATATTTAATGTTAATATTTTTAAATATTGTGGGCTGTTTCGTCAATTACTTCCATTATAGCAATATTTGATTTTGATA